AGTTCCAAATGAACAAAACTCACATTTATTAACAACACTGTATGTACCAGCACTGCAAACAGAACACTTTATAGTTGTAATTCCCATTCCAGACCCACACGATGTGCAATACCCATTTGTCTTATCACAACTCAAACACGTTGAACTGCAACTTTTGCATGTTGTGCTTCCCGCAAACGAGTATTGCATGTCGGGACACGTTACACAACTTCCACCACTTTGGTACGTGCCAGCCGAGCATGTGTCACATTTTCCATCGTTCAGAATATAACCATCAAAACAAGATAAACAATTCCCATTTGTTTGGTCGCACGTTTTGCAACTTGTGGAACACGCTGAACACCCACTTGAACCACTGAGTGAATAATACCCAGTCGCACACTTTGAACACAACGAAGTTCCACCACTCGAATAATACGATGCGGGACATATCGAACAGTTCTTATTTGACGAATCGTACGAATAGCCAACATTACATGAAGTGCACTCCCCCGTCGTTATTGAACACACTCCACAACTTGTGGAAACGCATTGTACACACACCGAACTTCCAGATGTGGAATAAAACCCATCTGCACACGTTTTACACGACGAACTTCCTTGTTCATCCGCATAAGTCCCTGCTTTACAATCAGTACAATAAGCACTTCTGCTGCTCGAATATGTTCCCTTACTACATGTCACACATTTTGATGTTGTTGGGAGTTCAGAGCGTGTTCCAGCAGCACATTCTGTGCATTTTGATGATCCAGAATTTGAATAATATCCAGCATCACATGAAGTGCACATAGAAGCGAATGAAGATGAGTAAGTGCCAGCTGAACAAATAGAACATTTTGAAGCACCGGCACTGGAATAATAGCCCGGATCACATTTATTGCATTGTGTAGATCCACTAGAAAACGTTCCCGCTACACAAGTATAACATGAGGTAGACCCAGAAAAAGAATTATAAGTACCAGCAGAACACTGAGAACATGAAGCTGACCCACGGCTTGATGAATAATAACCAGCAGGACATTTACTACATTGAGAAGCACCACTATAAGAATACGTGCCAGCTGAACACGAAGTGCACGATGTTGTCGAACCACCCGAGGAATAAGTTCCTGCTCTACAAGAAAAACAACTATTTCCAGAAAGGTACTGCCCACCACTACACGTTGCTGCATAAACCATTTTAATTGTTGAGAAAAAATACAGCAAAGTTAGAGAAACAAATTGAATCATATATTTTATTATTTTTAAATTTGAGTTTCATGTTTTTGTGGTATTTATAGATTATATTATTTAAAATGTATTTAACAAACGTAAATTGTTTTTTGATTTTATTTAAAAAAAATATTCAACTTTTGTTGACAAGAGAAGTATCGGGTTGTTGGTGAGTTAACCTTACGATATCGTAACTGTATTAAATAAAACACAAATTTTAATTTTTTTACCTTGAAATTTGGTATACTAAAAACTTAACTTGTGGTGACTCTTTTGAAATGCAAACAATAAACAAACATATTCCACAAAAAATAATTTATAAATTATTATTATTATTGTTATTACAGAAACGTAATAATAATAACTTTTTATTTTTTTCTTTTACCTTTACCTTTTTTTGCCTTCATACACAAAACATATTTTTGAAAATTTTTATTTGTTTTTTTTATCAACTCAATTTTGAATTGTATATTTTATAGTCACACAAATAAACATGAATGAGTTTATTTGTGTTGAACAAGAGCAAAGCTTAAAAAAGAAAAATGGGGTCTTTTGATAATTTGATATTTTTATTTGTTTTTTTTAAAAGTATATTGTCATTTGATTATAACGATATTGGTGTTTTAAAGTAGTTATATTTATTAATGTGACTATTTGACATTGTTTGTTATTAAGTGGATTGACAATGTAGCGTTTTTTGTATTAAATGTTGAAACATGATAAAGCGATATGAAATTTCATCAAAAAAAGATTATTTTTGATCAATCTTAGGTAATTGAGTTCTCATTTGTTAATTATTTTAAGTAAAATAAAACTGACTATTGGCAGGTTTGGGTTAGGAAGGGGTTTTGGAATAAAAATAATAAAAAAATGATTTGGACAATATCTTTTTTACTTATTATTATTCTTTAAAAAAGTTTTGGTTGTGAAAGTGTTAATTAAAACATCAACAGTATTGGTGTTTTTATCAACAAAACATTTTTTTGAATAAATGTTCGATAAAAAATTGTAAGGTTAATAAAATTTCTAAAATGTATCAAAATGGTATCAGCTTTAATCACCACCACTTTAACCAAAACAAATTATTTACCGTTGTTGTTTTTTAAAAGAAGAAAACTATTATTAAAACATTAAAATGGAATAGTATTCTTGTGTATTTTTTTATAACAATATACAATCAAAGACATTTTTTACTAATAGTATTCAATATTAAATAGTAATATTAATATTAATAACTTTATAATACTTTGAATCTTTACCTAATTGATTGAAAAACGAAATTCTTAATGACTAAATTCATGTCAAAGAGAGTTGATGTGTATTCCATGCAAATTGTTGCGACATATTTAAGAAATTATGACGACTATATTAACATGATATTAGTGTGTAAGAAGTATAAATATGTACTTGATCGCATAAGGATAAATCCAATTCAAATAACGCCACAAACAAAAAACCTATTTGAGTTCGTTCAAACTCAGCAATTCTTCTCTACTTTTGATATAAAATTAAAACCCGAAAAATCATTTTTAATTATCCAAAGAGTGCGAAGAAGAATTAAAAAATAAAAATGTCTGTCCTCTTTCGGTGTATACATATAAAGACCGATGTGATTATAAAGGCAAAATACCAGACTTTATAAGGAAAATAGGATGTTTTAGTTTTGGAGTTTGTGATATGACGACAATAACATTTCCACTTTCAATTATTGAAATTTCTGAAAAAGCATTTTCTTATTGCTTAAATATCACATAAATTACACTGCCACCACATTTAACACAACTTGGAAGTTATGCATTTAACAATTGCAGAAATTTGAAAAAAATCAAACTTCCAAATTTGCTTGAGTACATTCCAATCTCATGTTTTTGTGGCTGCAATTCGCTTTTTTTCTGTGATCTTTGGGACAAATATTACTATGATTAATTGTGAAGCGTTTAGTGGATGTGCTTTTAATGATTTTACAGGTGATAAAAAAGTGTTTATTCATAATTTTGTATTCTATCAAAATGCACTTACAAAAATAACATTTTATGGTAAAATAAATATACCACGGTATGTATGTGGTTATTGTCGACAATTAAAAGAAGTTGTGATGGACAACGACGTTGAGAGCATTTCGATGTATGCTATTCGTAAATGTATTTCACTTAAAAAATCACTCTTTCATTTAACTTGGATACTATTTGTTGTTGCGCATTTTCTGGGTGTATAAATCTAACTGAATTTACCGTCCCACAAAAAGTCCAATTTGTAGAATCATTTGGATTTGAAAAGTGCAAACAATTGAAAGAACTTGTTTTTAGTGAAAATGTTATATTACATGATAGTGTGTGTTTTGATCAATGCACTTCTCTAACTCGATTAGATGTTCCTGTCACCAAAATGAAACATGTGTATATTCCAACTAAAAGTGAAAGAGTTATATTTGATAGACTTGGCATAGAAGTTTATGCCGATCACAAACATCTTAGCAATTTGGAAAAACTTTATATGAATATGTATTGCAAAGGCGAACACCCAAATTTATACATTCCATCTACTATTGTTGATGTAGATTTAGATATGTATAACTCTGACAATCTATTAGAAAAGTTTTTTATTCCCGAAAATGCACTTTTGTTAAAAGATGAAAACTTTTGTATTTACAACGCAAAATGTGTACAAGTACCATCCACTGTCACAAAAATACCAAAACGTTGCTTTTCAGATTCAAAGCTCGAAGAATTTGTTGTGCCACAAAATATATGCGAAATTGGAACGGAAGCATTTTGAAATTCAAAAAAATTGACGTCACTTTACATTCCAAAAAGTGTCACAAAAATTGGTAAAAGATTTGTTGTTGGATGCATTAATTTAAAGTCAATTATATTTGAAGATAGTCGTTCTTTTGATTTTGAGAAAGAAACTAAAGATAATATTTGCAGTGTCACATTGAATACAACAAACCTAGATGACAATGTCGAGTTTTCTCTTGAAACAACAAAAATAGAAGTACCATCGACTGTCACAAAAATAGGTACTTTTTATTTTTCCAAATATACAAATCTCTGTGAAGTTTTAATGCCAACTACAATCAAAAAATTCCAAACATTAATTTTCGATGAGTGCACTCGCCTTACTAAAATATCGTTTTACGACTGTTTACTACTTACAAGCAAAACAAACCAAAACAACTAAACGATTGAAAAATACACCAAATTCTTTTTCAACACAGTTGATGTGAATTACACGTTTTATCTTTAAATGAAGTCGTTTGGGTACAAATTTTTTAATGTCATTTTAACATCCAAAGATATAAATTTGTATGGGACAAACGTCAATTTTTCAGTGATAAAAACCATTGGAAACGAAGATAAAAATATGCTCAAGATTAACACACCAAATATAAAAAATCACAATTTTGGTTCTTATTGTCAAATTAATAAGTTGGTGATACCTTCTAATGTTGAAATTCTTAACCAATGCTATTTCTTAATTGGTTATTTCAGAGAAATTGAATTTTTATCTGTTACAAAGAAAATCAATGATAAATGTTTTAGTAGTTCACAATTTCTACAAAGTGTAACATTTTCAGACATATTAGAAAAAATCGGCAATGATGTGTTTAACAATTGTCGTTCATTAAAATCAGTGACACTCCCAAAAAGTCTTAAAAAATCGGAATAAAATGTTTTGCAAATTGTTATTCACTTGTGAGTGTATTTTGTGAGTCACAAGACGTTATCTACAATTTGCAGTGTTTTACTAATTGTGACAATTTAAAAATAATTCCAAAAATTCGATACATGAAAAATGGAGTTTTCATGCATTGTAATTCACTTGTTAAATTTGATAGTTTTGGAGATGTTGAATGTATTCCTCATTGCACATTTATGGAATGCTTCAACTTGAAAGAAATGGTCTTTCCTAAGACTTTGAAAACGATTGGAAAATTTGTATTTAAAAATTGTGTTTCACTTGAAAGCATCACATTCCCAAAATTACTTGTAAGAGTTGAAGATGGCTGTTTTATGAATTGCTCAAAACTTCAATATATAAATGTTAGTAATACAAATATTATATTCGGAAATGACGTTTTTGAAGGGTGCACGTCACTTAAGTCGATACTTTTTGAAGGCAAAGAAGTATTAAATTATAATGGAAAAGTTAGTTACACGCTTTATAAACAATTTGAAAAAAAATTCATTGTGATAATGTCAAAGTAAAATGCAATGATTTGGATATGTTTGGAATTGATATTTTAAATGATGAAAATGTTCATTGCATTGCTGAAGGCGCATTGTTTAACAAGACAGGTATCACTGAAATTAAAATACCCAATAAAATCACTAAAATTAGTAATTTCTGTTTTGCTAATGCAACACAACTTTTCAAGTTGTGTTGCCGTCATTGTAATCAGAGCTCCCTCCTTTATGTTTTTATCATTGCACAACACTGAAAATTATCAACTTAGAACACATCACAAAAATTGGGATGGGGTGCTTCGACAATACAAAATTTGAAAAAGTCTTGGTTTTGCATACGAAAACATATAAATCTTAACAATTGAAATGATTTAATTGTTTATATTTTGTATTTTTTTTAATGTGAAACTGTATTTCAATTGTTAGTACCAAAAGGAAGCGATTTTTTGAAATAAATCATTCCAAATAAAATTATTTTTGTTTGATGTTGTTTTCAAGTGTATTTTTTTTAAAAAAATAGACGTGTCTAAATCTTGAAATAAGACCAAGCTAAAAAATCAAATAAAAATAACAGGGAAAATATCAAATAATTAACTTTGTTTTAAACTTTGCTTGACCAAATGTTTTTTTGCCGAAAGTAAAACCGAATTATTTTTATTTTCAAAATAAAATGTTGATGTTATAGCTTTGATATCGACATCGATTCCGTCGATGTTGATGCCATAGTTTATTTTTGCAGTTATTATCATTTCAAATGATAAATTGGTAAAACAGAGGTTATTGTATGCTATTATTTTTACGTGTTAACACAATAATTATAACAGTTAAGCCATTAAACCTTCGCCCAACAAATTAACCTTAGCCCAAAGAAAAACTAATTATTTTTTATTGTTATATTATAATAATAAACTATAAATAAATAAAAGACAATTTTCTAAAATATTTATTTTTTTCGTAAAAACCCGTGTTTTTAAAGAAAAATATAGGAATTTCTCAGGGCTAAAGTACATTTCCCGGGCTAAGGTTCATTTTCCCTACTGTAGTACCATTTTGAAAATATTAATTATAAATAAGTAATAAATAAAATAAATATAACTTTTCGACAACACAAGTTAATTTACAAAAAAACAAATATATATTATATACAGTTCATAAATTAACCATATTTAAAAAAATACAGTCAAAAATACTAGTATTTTTATTGTTAAAGTTGATTTTATAAAATCTTCTTGATTTTGCGATTTTTGATGCTTTTGAAAATGTATTTTAGTTATTTTTTGTTTTTTACATTTATTTTCTTTAAAAATTATATTTGAAAAAAGGAACAAACAATAGTGTTTATTCTTCTTATCTTTTTGTATTATAAAAAAAAAGTAAAACTCAAATTTAAAAATTGTTGAATTTTTCAAAGTTTACAAAAAATCTATTTATTTTCCCTTGTTATTGTTTTCGTGATCAATTGCATATTAAAATTTCAATACACTTCAAAGTCGATGATAGATTATATTTCTTTGTTATTTTATGATGTAATTGATTATGAATATTCCAGACCAGTATGTTTTACGATGTAGTTTGGTTTTTGTTATATTTTATAATTAATTTTATTATTGTTATAAATTGTAGACATCTCAATTGATGTTTGGTCTGACTTTTCCATTAAACTGTGACTTGTTTCTGAAAAGATCAAGCAAAAAGTGAACCATTGTTCATCCCAACTTCAACAAAAGGTTCACTTTTTTACTATAATTTATATTTTTATTATAAAATTTTACTAACTCAGTCGTCCTAAAAAAAGTTTAAGTAATTAAAAAAAGTCTCATTTACTTGAAAAATAACTAAGATTTCACAAAATCTATTATTTTTAGTTTTTAGAGTCCTCCATGAAACAGGCGTTTTCAATTTTGCTTTTCAATATTTAGAGATCAAACTGGTATTATTAGTAATTTTTTAACAGAAAAAAATAATTGTCGAAAAAAAATATTTTTTGATATGATTTGGTTAAATTATTTATAAATTGAAATTTAAATTTTTAATTTGGCAAATATAATTTTTTAGTAAAACGTTATAATAAGCTAAAATGTTTTTAAATTGGGAAAAATAAACTTTTTGAATTGAATTGGTTAATTTTTAATACAAAAAGCAATTCACTATAAACAACAAACAAAATTAAAATCAACAATTAATATATATATTATACAAACGATGGTTGTCAAACCCATTTTTACTGTAAATTTATTATAATATCAATTTTATATTAATATGAATATAAAAAACAATACAGAGTGTGTTAAGTATATTTAACATTTTATTTTGTTATTATTAATTGTAATTATAATGAAATGTTGTGAATGTACCACATGTTGTATCATGTTTCTAATAACAATAATAAAATCAAACAATATAAGGTGATATGTAATTTTAATAAAATCGTGTATTTTTTATTGTCAACTTTTAGACTACCGTGAAATTGAATTAATATCTTATGTGCATGTGTGTAAGTTCCAAGTCAGAACCCAAATTTGTTGTAAATTATGAAATAATTTTGATCTAAATTTAAGCTTTAATTTAATGTTTCATATTTATACACTTGAAATATGTCAAGTTTTATTTTAAGTTGTTTTAAATAAATTTTAAAAATGTAGCAATTATAGGGGGTCTATAAACTGGTTGGAATTCATAAACTAGTTGGGGAATTTATTAGAAACTTTTTAAAAAATAAAACAATATTTACACGTATTTTGGAAAAGAAAACCCTTTTCTGTAGTTTTGAGAAGTATGAAACATGTTAATTTCTATTTTTGTTTTTGTTGTTTTGCAATTTTAGAAATTAATAAAAAAATCAATGAAACCAAAGAACAACCAATGAATAAAAACTTATCAATTATTTTTTGTGGATAAAATATATTATTTCGGAAGAGAATTGTGTTCTCTCCTTTATCATATAACACACATTTAAACAAATTGTTCACACAATACACAAAAAGTTGTCAACGACCGTGGCAAATTAAATTATCTCGCTCTCACACACATTATATATTATATCGCAATCTCTCCACGCATATTAAAAATATTGCAATGAATGACTGTTTTGAGTTCATAATATTTTCTTTTATACAGTAGAAAGCCTTTTATGTAGTCCAAAATTCGTTTTTTAAATCTGTTGATTTTTTAATTTGTTTTTATTTCTATGTAATTTTATCTTATTTAAAATCATTAATCGAAACTTAACAACGTTTTTGATTAATACAATTAATATTTTAATATAATAAATTATTAAATTTCAATTGTTTATCGAGATTCATTAGAAATAATTATGGCAATAAATGTTGATTTGATTTTTTTTGAAATTATTTTAATAAAAAACATTATTTTTATAAAATGTTTTTACTTTAGATGTATGTTATATTATACTATTATATGCAAAATTATTAATAATATATTATGCTTATTTATTGGTTTATTAAATTATTATTTTATCAAGAATAATGATTTAAACATAGATATTCTTTGATAAATAACAGGGATCAGACACACAACATTCGAATGGTGTATTTAACATATTGTTAACAGCTTTTTATTAACAACAATACTCACTCTTGATATCCAAGAATGTGTTTATTAAAGTTGACTTTATTAATTTATAAAACTAAAACAATATTATAATTTATAATCAATAAAACTATTTATTTTTCATTTTATTTTCAAAAAATCAATAACTTTACAATTATAAATGTAGTGCATTTACCTGTCATTCATTTCAATTTATTTATTCA